ACTATGGTAGAGAAAGTCTCCCGAATAACATGAGAAATCAAGTTCATTGGGATCGTTGTTGCGATAGGTTCTCCGGTGACAAATTTCAAGTAATTATAGATTTGTTAGAACTTGATGATTTTTTATACATAATTACAAGTAACTATTACTTATTATAGTTAATCATAAACAGAAAATATCAGAGACAAATAAAACTAATCGCAGCAACCAAAAGTATCCAAGCTTACATGGTCGGTTATCGTACTCTCAGCATCGCAATAAGAAGGTTAGTACTCATTTTTTTACTTTATTATCGTATTTATATGTTTTTGATTCCTATTCTAGGTGGCACATCTTGCAGTTATGGTGTGTCGAAATCTTTTAAAGTTATTTTTCTACAGGTTTGGATTTTTGGATCATATGAAAAATAAGTCGTTATGTTGTCGAAATTTAGTTAGAATTTAAGAATTTTAATAAATGTAATTTATTTGACAGGCTAGTACGGAGACCCAAGAGCCGATGTCTGCTATAGACAAGTGGGCAGACATGCATCGTCACAGGGACTCTTAGGTTAATACCCATGCGGAACAGACTTTCGTAAGTATTTCTACTTTTCATATTAAATTTTTTTATACTGAAATAGTGATTTTATAACACGTAAAAATTATTATAATGTCTTATTATGTAGAACACCCTGGAGGAGGAGAGACAAATGCAGAGAACACAGATTACTGCAAGCTCGACTAGACCCCCCCTTGACGAGCATGGGGTTTTGGAGCAAGTTCTTGGCATGCGTAGAGGACATAAGATAGGAGTGGGTCCGACGCTCTCCCAAAAGCATTACTCTAGAGCTTCTCCTTCATCTGCTGGTTCATTCTCGGACGCAACCTCATCGGCTAAACCTAACTCACGTATGGATCGTTATTTAAAGAAATCGTACCGGGAACAAATGAAAATTTATGACAATCAGGTGAAGATGTTAGAGTTAGTGTCTAAATTGCAGCCCAACATCCAATTACCTATGATTACTCGTCCAGAACCAGTTAACCTAGACACTCCTCTGCCTCCTTCAGATGATGACAGTCCTGATGGTGATTCAGCTGTTGGCGATGCTGCAAACTTAGACGAATAGTTCCGTTATATGTTCTATTTTATTTTTCACTTTATTTAGACTTTTATATTTTTTTGAACATTATATATGCACTTCATGTAGTATTCATAATATATTTTATAAATTTATTTAGATTTACTGTTTTTAATATTAATTTATATTTCACTTTTAATGTATCTTAATAAATTATATTCAGTATGTAACATAATAATGTTTAATTAAAATTATTAAAAATTAATTAATTGCCATTTTTAAAAAAATTGAAAAAAATAATTTATTCCAGTTTTTTGCGATGACTTTTTTATACGTGTTGTCGCAAAAAAAAACAGAATATTTGCGACGACATTTTGAAATTTATCGTCGCAAAAAATAATATATCACGAGAATTTCATAACGAAGTATTAGCGATGCTTGTCATCGCAAAAAAAATATGTCGTCGCAAATATATTTGCGACGACCCTGTGTCGTCACAAAAAAAAATTTTGTGACTAATTTTTTACGACGACATATCTGCGACGACATGTCGTCGCTAAAACTATTATTTGCGACGACAAAAAGTTGTCGCAAAAACACCTTTTTCTTGTAGTGAAAGCAAAACTAACAAACGCAGCACAGCGCGAAATAACAAAAAGCAACAGCCCCGAGGTAACAGTCTAACCAATTAACCATTAACCATCCCCAGGTAACAAACCTAACAAATTAACCATTAACAATCTTAATATTGTTAAATGAAACTTTTGGAACTAGAGGTGGTTTAACATGTCCACATTTTAATATAATGATATGGTGTTCGGACGGCAGCTTTTTTCTCTTGACTGCATTAATTAAGAGAGATTTCTTATCGGCTTTCGCTATATAGATATATATATATGTGTGTGTATATATATGTGACCTTATAAGTCCATATAATATGCTACAACAGAAACACATCTAGCTCACTAATTCTAACATATATTCATTTTAACAGCTTCATAATCTCACAGGCCGAGAGAAAAAGACGATCATCTGATCAAGAAAGATATGGCAAACCAAATTCTGCTATTTGCTTTGCTGGCTGCAGCCACATTTGCTATAGCCATTGCGTTTGAGCCTAGTCCACTTCAGGACTTCTGTGTCGCAGACCCTGCTAGCCCAGGTTGACCCCAACAACTAGTCTTTAGGCGTAAAATTTTTTTTTTTTTTGCTTCTTTTTCATCATTATATTTGACATAACTTTTTTTTTCCCCGCATTACATCCTATATTAAATTTTAGATCAATACTAAAGGGCATGATCACTACTACATATTTTGGTATATATCATTATTCTCTCTCGCCTTTTACTTAAAAAGAAGAAAAAAAAAAAAACAGATACATTATGACGTTTACTACACTTAAATATGGAAGAAAAAGGTTTGAAATGTCATGTAACATTCAACACCACACTTGATCATGTCGACGTATTACATACGTACTCCACATGATCTTCATATTACTTTGACTTAAATTTTTCAGACTATATATGTTTGTAGACCAATTATTTATCTTCATATTGCATCAATATATACTGTTGAATTGCAATATTTGAACCTTTGCATATATTGAGATGTTTATTTTTAAAACATCAAGACATTCTTAAATTTCTCATGTATTTTGTCAGCAAGGGTAAACGGACTAGTTTGCTTGGACCCCAAGCTTGCTACTGCCGAGCACTTCTCCTTCAAAGGCCTTCACCTACCCGGCAACACATCGAACCCCGTTGGCTCGAAGGTCACCCCAGTGAATGTCGTCCAGATCCCGGGCCTCAACACCCTCGGCGTCTCCCTTGCTCGGATCGACTATGCACCATACGGCGTCGTCCCTCCCCACACGCACCCTCGCGCCACCGAGATTTTGACCGTCCTAGAAGGCAGCCTCTACGTGGGGTTCGTGACCTCAAACCCTAACAACGCCCTCATCTCCACGGTTCTCAACAAGGGCGATGTCTTTGTTTTTCCTGTTGGGCTTGTCCACTTCCAGAAAAGCGTCGGTTATGGGAATGCCGTTTCGATCTCCGCCTTGAGCAGCCAGAACCCGGGTGTCAATACAATTGCCAATGTCGTTTTTGGCTCCAAACCGAGCATTGAAAGTGATGTTTTGGCCAAGGCTTTTCAGGTTGACAAGTCTATAATTAGCCGTCTCCAATCACAGTTTTAAAAAGAAAAGTTGGTAATTCTGGTGCAAATCAGTTATTCCGTTATCGTTAATTAATTTGGTACGAAGTTGTTTTGTTATTATTTCAATCTTGTGTACTTGATCATGTCTTAATTTGGTCACAATGATCATTTGTAGAGGATGAGAGTGTTAATTTGATTTGATGTTTTGCCATGTCGTTTGCTTATTGTCTTTTTTTTTATTTATTAAACATTCGTATCGGTATTACGTTTGTGTGTAGTACTGCAACATCAAAAGATTGTAAAAGTTCGATGGATTCTAGTACTAATGAATCATGTTATGTTTGCGGCAAATGCCATGTGGATTAGGGTCGATTTGGCTGAGATTTTGGGTCCATTTGACCGTGCCATTATATACATGCTCCATGTGTAGCCTACTCCAATTGGCATCTCTAGTCTAACCAAAATAACAAGATATTGATTAGATAGTTATGTTCTGCAAGTTGAGCCACAAAAGCCCATTTTTTGGTTAATTATTGGGTGCGTTTGGAATTCGTTTTACAAGATGATTTGATTTTTTTTCCCTCAAAAGATAAATAAAGTTTTTTTTTCCAAATTCATAATGAGAATTGGGTAGGATCTCTCATTCAATACTGGTACATGATTTCTCACAAGATAACCTCATGATATTCGTGCCACGAACATGATCATTATATGCTTCAAGTTAAAGAGTCTCCACGAACACAATCATGGCTACGTTTTTTTATTGTTCATGCTACGTGTGGTTATTAAATAGCAATACTTGAACAACTACAAAAATTCAAAACTTAAAAACTCAATAGAAGAATAGTAGAGAGAGAGAGAGAGTGAGAAATCTGACAGAAACTTGCTATGTCTTTCTTTTGTGCCTTTGACTCTTTAGTTATTTATAGTCACACTTAGTACACACAAAATATAAAAAGTATTTCTTTCAATATTTATAGGAGAGTAAATTATTTAATTACTCAATCTATTAAGATATTAGAAATATTGCATAATATTTTTTCTTTCATTATTTATAGGAGAGTAAATTATCTAATTACTTAATCTAGTAAGATATTATAAATATTGCATTATATTTTCAAAATGATTTTTTCCTGTCTCATGAATGTTATTCTAAATAAAATCTGAGTGTTGACTTTTGAGGCATGCATGTTATGGATGTTTCAAAATCCAACATAATTAAATAAGTAAAAAATTAAAAAATTAAAAAATTACTATTTAAGTTTTAGCTAAATATCATTACCTTTTTCTTCTCCTATAACAGATCACTTAGAGGACTTTTTAGCCATGCCTTCTTGATGATCATTGTATGTACTTTAATATAGGGGTGTTCGGTGGCCGAACCGATCATGTCAATTTTTTAAAACTATGCACCAAAACCGAACCGCATAAAGGAGTGGTCGGTTCGGTTAACCAAACTTCGGTTTTCGGTCGGTTTTCAGTTTTGGTAATCATGAAGGTAGCCATCAGTTAACCATCAGGTTACCAACATCTTTAGTTGCACTTTTTACCAGAAAATGTGAAAAAATATAAAACTTTCCTTCTATGCAAACCTGTAATCACAATAAATGAATACAAAACACAATATCCAAATTGATAATACCACAAACACAAAATATCTAAATTCAATGTCTAAAATCCAAAGTACAAACTGAAAGCCACAATTACGGGTTGTTCTGTTATTATGATTTTTGTTTTGTGGGGTTTTTGGTGATGGATGATTTGATTCATATGCTACAGGATGAAGATATCCAATGGGTAACTGTGGATCTACAACACACTGAACCTACTTGGCATTTACAACAGAAAGTGCCCCAAAAGAGCCGACTCCATACATATGCTTTGTCCCAATCAAGGTGTGTAAATGCAACCATTTATTATGAGTAGATTAGCAGCAAATAGGAAAAAAATGACATCAAATGAAGAATGAAAGTAAAAAAAAAAAAAAGCAACAACAACATTCAGAAAAAAAAAAAGACTCAGTCGGTTCGGTTTTTAACCGAACCTCTCAACCCAAAACCGAAACCGAACCACTAAAGAAGCAGTTCGGTCGGTTAACCGAACCGACTATATTCAGTTCCACGTGGTGCCTTTTTTTCAGTTTTTGAGCGATCGATTCTTCGATCGGTGACGGGCGGTTTCGGTTTTACGGTTTTTTTTGTACTGTCCTACTTTAATATCCTATGAGATGTACGAAAAAATCATGGTAAGTACTTTTATATCCATATATTTACACCTTTTTCGTTATGTTGTCATTACAGTACATGCATTTTTTTTTTTTTTTTTTTTTGCTAATCGCATTACGTGCTTTTAAAAATATTTCATGAGATTTAACTTGCAAGTACAATAATTTCATGGATAAGCATGTGCCTAGGGAATTTGTTCTAGTTTTAATATCCTGTGCATACGTTTGCCTAAAACGTGTAAAAGGATACCTATTAATAAGATCAATCGGAGAAAGGATACATGAAATTAGTAGTTTTATATTGATCAATATTTCCTGCTTGCAAACATGTTATTGAACTTAATTCATTGAGAACGACAAATCCGAGCAACATATATAATTTAATGAATATCATTAGTTTTATATTTGATCAATTGCAACCAAAAGAAAAACGCCAGGAGATATAAACACCAAATAGACCGATAGGTCGGCAAAAAATAGATTATCAGCGGCAGGCAGGTCCGGCACAGCAACAGTGTAAGAGTATTGCCAATAATATTGATAATGTTTTGATACTTTGAGCTAAAAAAAATTTTTATTTATTTTTTTTTTGCTATGACAAAAATGTTATATACTAATGATAGATATACCATTATTAATATTGGTTATTTTTCAGCGCTACAATTTTCTCTCAAATTTTTTGACAGTTTTAATTATCGTCGTTGAAGAAGTTACTTAATAGCTTGTTAGTTAATTAGAAATATATGGAGTCAGCATTCTCTATCTGTTGGAAATCTGTAATTCTTCCCAATGGCATATAATATTACTTCTTGATTTCCTTCAAATCTTAATTAAATATAGCTAGTATAAATACCTCATCATCTCATCAATTATATTCACTTGATCAGTCAAACCATTTACATTCATCGCTCACTAAACTGACAATTTCTCTCTTCTAAAACTTTGATTATACCGTAACTAAATTTTTTCATTCACAATATCATGACCAAGTGTCTGGAGATGAGAGGCCACATGGAAATCTGACCATGTCAGCCGGCCTAACTTTTGATTTTGGAGGAAAAAAAAATAAAAGGGTAAAACAACATTATTTTACCCTCAAAAAAAGAAAAAAAAAAAAAACAACAACAATATTATAAGATATGGTGTTCGGACGGCAGCTTTTTTCTCTTGACTGCATTAATTAAGAGAGATTTCTTATCGGCTTTTGCTATATATATATGTATATATATGTGACCTTATAAGTCCATATAATAATATGCTACGACAGAAACACATCTAGCTCACTAATTCTAACATATATTCATTTTAACAGCTTCATAATCTCACAGGCCGGGAGAAAAAGACGATCATCTGATCAAGAAAGATATGGCAAACCAAATTCTGCTATTTGCTTTGCTGGCTGCAGCCACATTTGCTATAGCCATTGCGTTTGAGCCTAGTCCACTTCAGGACTTCTGTGTCGCAGACCCTGCTAGCCCAGGTTGACCCCAACAACTAGTCTTTAGGCGTAAAATTTTTTTTTTTTTTTGCTTTTTTTTCATCATTATATTTGCTTTAATCCTAGATCCAATAGTACTAGACATAACTTATTTTTTCCCGCATTACATCATAAATTAAATTTTAGATCAATACTAAAGGACATGATCACTACTACATATTTTGGTATATATCATTGTTCTCTCTCGCCATTTACTTGAAAAAGAAAAACAGATACATTATGACGTTTACTACACTTAAATATGGAAGAAAAAGGTTTGAAATGTCATGTGTAACATTCAACGCCACACTTGATCATGTCGACGTATTACATACGTACTCCACATGATCTTCATATTACTTTGACTTAAATTTTTCAGACTATATATGTTTGTAGACCAATTATTTATCTTCATATTGCATCAATATATACTGTTGAATTGCAATATTTGAACCTTTGCATATATTGAGATGTTTATTTTTAAAACATCAAGACATTCTTAAATTTCTCATGTATTTTGTCAGCAAGGGTAAACGGACTAGTTTGCTTGGACCCCAAGCTTGCTACTGCCGAGCACTTCTCCTTCAAAGGCCTTCACCTACCCGGCAACACATCGAACCCCGTTGGCTCGAAGGTCACCCCAGTGAATGTCGTCCAGATCCCGGGCCTCAACACCCTCGGCGTCTCCCTTGCTCGGATCGACTATGCACCATACGGCGTCGTCCCTCCCCACACGCACCCTCGCGCCACCGAGATTTTGACCGTCCTAGAAGGCAGCCTCTACGTGGGGTTCGTGACCTCAAACCCTAACAACGCCCTCATCTCCACGGTTCTCAACAAGGGCGATGTCTTTGTTTTTCCTGTTGGGCTTGTCCACTTCCAGAAAAGCGTCGGTTATGGGAATGCCGTTTCGATCTCCGCCTTGAGCAGCCAGAACCCGGGTGTCAATACAATTGCCAATGTCGTTTTTGGCTCCAAACCGAGCATTGAAAGTGATGTTTTGGCCAAGGCTTTTCAGGTTGACAAGTCTATAATTAGCCGTCTCCAATCACAGTTTTAAAAAGAAAAGTTGGTAATTCTGGTGCAAATCAGTTATTCCGTTATCGTTAATTAATTTGGTACGAAGTTGTTTTGTTATTATTTCAATCTTGTGTACTTGATCATGTCTTAATTTGGTCACAATGATCATTTGTAGAGGATGAGAGTGTTAATTTGATTTGATGTTTTGCCATGTCGTTTGCTTATTGTCTTTTTTTTTATTTATTAAACATTCGTATCGGTATTACGTTTGTGTGTAGTACTGCAACATCAAAAGATTGTAAAAGTTCGATGGATTCTA